CAGGCCTCCATCACCTCCCCAACGTGGCCCTCTCAGACACTGCTACCTAAACCAGCACCACAGCCACTCTCTACGCTACCACTATGCTGTGTATGTTTGTTTGCAATTTTCTTAAGGTATACTTTATAAATTATAAAACCCATCTCAAGTGCACAATTCAATGACTTTTAGTATGTCAAGGTATACAATAATCCCTATAAGTAAATTTTAAAACATTTCTGTCCTTTCTGTAAGATCCTTTCTGACCATTTACTGTTAATCTCATAATTATCCCCTGTTACTAGGCAACCACTGATCTACCTTTACATTTCTACAGATTTTTCTTTCCTGAACGTTTCATGTAAATGGAATTATAATTATTTCCACCACTTTATTTCATTTTTAATATATTTTTATGGTGATAAAATGCACATAAAACTTAGCATTTTAACCATTTTTAAGTGGACGGTTCAGTGACATTAGTACATTCATACTGCTGTGCAGCCATCACCGCCATCCATTTCCAGAACTTTTCCATTTTCCCCAAACGGAAATGCTGTCCCCACCAAATACTAACACCCATTCTTCCTCCCTGAGCCCCTGGCAACTACCATTCTACTCTCTGCCTTAATGATTTGACTACTCTAGGTTCTCCATATGAGTGGAATCCTACAATATTTACTGTTTTGGGACTGGCTCATTTCACTGAGCATAATGTCTTCATCCGTGTTGTAGCAGGTGTCAGAATTTCCTTACTTTTTAAGGTTAAATAATGTTCTGTGTATGTCTATACCATATTTTATTTATCCATTCATCTGTGGACAAATATTTGGACTGCTTCCACCTTTTAACTACTGTGAATAATGGTGTTATGAACATGGACATGGACATACAGATGTCTGATCAAGTCCCTGCTTCTCCTTCTTGGGCAAAAATACCCAGAAGTGGAGATGCTAAATAATATGGATATTAATTCTATGTTTAATTTCTTGAGAAACCACCATACTATTTTTGCAGTCATACCAGCAATGCACAAAGATTCCAATTTCTCTACATCTTTGCCAAAACTTGTTTTCTGTTTTCGGTGTGTGTTTTTTTTTTTTTTTCATTTCCTTCCTAATGGCTGCGAAGCAACATCTATCCTATTTTTACAATACATTTATCAATACTTGATTTTCTTGTTTAGTTGTTTTTTTAAACATTAATTGCTTATCTCCCCAAACCAGCGGCATGAGGGCAAGGAGCTTGGCTGCCTTGTTTGCTGCCATAACCACAACAGTACCCAGCACTTAACATATTTGTTGAAAGAATGGAAAATCTCAGGGCTACCAGCTCTTGTTCTTTCATCTCCTCTACAATCTGCAGGAGCTGGGGAGCTCCCTTCTGCTACCCTGACAAACCAGAGGACCATGAAAATTTTTACAAATTAGTGCTGTTCCTTTTAAAATAAATAAAGATGTTGTTACATTGAGGCCTTCAGATCACCCATAGCCTTGTGAACACTCTACTGAGGCTGTAATTAAACCCAAGAGAAAGTGCTGGGCTCCTCTGGAAGTTCTTGGTAGCTACTCATTTGCAAATATAAAAGAGGTAGCCCCTTGAAACGGAATAAACTCAACTATGTAAGAGTTAAAGCTAGAAAGGTTTTAACTAGAAAAGCAAATTGTACAGTCATTTCTTCTGCATTAACTGCTTTCAAAAGACATTTAAAAAAATGTCTGGCATTTGTTTCTCAATTTCATGCCATAAATAAATGTCATCTGCCTGTTTCCCTCTTTCCATAGTGAGAGAGGACCTGAATTTCTCAGCTCCTTTGCTTCTAGAAGAGGCCATGTAACTAAGAACCAACCAATGAAATGTATGCCCTTAAAGGGAGGATGTATGCCCTTCTCTTCCTGTTAGCTGGCTGGAACATGAACACGATGGCTGGAACTTGGGCAGTAATCTTGCACAAGGAGGTAGCAGGCAGAGCAGGAAGAGAGAGAGACCCAATGGCTGAGAAGCTGTCACACCACTCCTGGGTTGCCTACCTACAGATCCTTTATGTGAAAGAACCAAACCTCTGTTTGAGCCCTCGTTATTTTAGGTCTCTGTTACTGGAAGCTGACCTAGCCCGAACTCACACAGAACTGCTCCCGAAAGATTGTAGGAGAACCCAAGCACAGAATAAAGTCATTAAGATATAGAGGACAATGTAGACAGTTCCCTAAAAGTCTACATTGTTTTGAGCTGATGCCAAGCCCATTGTGGTGAGGAGGTGGCGGCAATCTGCCATATTGGGGCAGAAGACATGACAACTCAATACCAGCAATAAGGCGGGTAATGAGAGCTCAAATGCTAATGGCTAATACTCATTGAGCACTTATTATATCACAGGTACTGCCAAAGGGCTTTACACAGACCATCTCATTTCATCTTCACAACGATCTTGAGTTTCAAAGAAGATAAATCCTGGTCACACAGCTTGAGGGACAGAAATGAGAATTTGAATCTAGGGACATCAGACTGCTAAGCCCCCATGACTTACATGGCATCCAAGCGCAGCATCCACCGCACTGCCTCTGCCTCCACACGAAAGGACGAGGTGGGCAGGCCCCTCCTGAGGCTCACCGCTTCTCCACCGAAGAAAACCTTCACTAGACATCCCCAGCCCCAGTCAAAGTTTGATGTCACAACAATGTCCCATAATACCCCAAACAAACAGCCAACTGTGAAATCCTCCTTTTTAGGCACGTGATACCTCTCAGTCATTAAATTTCTTGGATTATTTTTATCTTATAGCCATTTACTGCCAATTGAAACCCCTCATAGTATTAAAACCAGGTGGTTTTTATGTTTGTTTCAGAGCCTTACTTCACATTTATGCTAATATCAATATTCCAGAACTCCTGTCTATGATTTATGCTTTCCTGGTCCCATGTGTTGCAATAACATAATGAAATCTGTGCCAGTTCATCAGACAGTTGATATTTGATAGGTCTAAGAACTATGGTTTATATTATGGAGGGGGCCCCTCTTATCTGCCTGTCAAATAACCTCCTTGGTGGGAATGCCTCATTGAAAAATAGGTTTCACTGTACATAAAGCTGGACTTACCAAATGTTTGATCCAGTCATTTTATACAACTGTTCTAGGACTTGGCTTCCCCATCTATAAAATGGGAGTAATAATGTTATTCTTTAGAGTGATTTGGAGTATTCAGTAAGACTGTGCTTGTTAATTACTTGGCACAGTGCCTGGCACATAGTAAGGGCTCAATAAGAGATAGCTACCTTTGTCTTGGCTGTGTGGCTCGGTGGACTGAGTGCCAGCCTGCGAACCAAAGCGTTGCTGGTTCTATTCCCAGTCAGGGCACATGCTTGCGTTCCAGGCTAGATCTCCAATAGGGGACACACAAGAGACAACCACACACTGATGTTTCTCTCCCTCCCTTCTCCCTTCCTTCGTCACTCTCTAAAAATAGTTTTTAAAAGATAGCTATTTCTAAAAATCATAACCTGTGGGTGGCACAATCTGAATGTTGCAGTGAACCAATGTGTTCAATCACCAAACAACTTCCCAACAGTCATTGCTGCCCTGGCTGGGTAGCTTAGTTGGCTAGAATGTAGTCCCGATTTACCAAGCTTGTGAGTTCAATGCCCAGTCGAGACACATACAACAAGCAACCAATGAATGCATAAATAAGTGGAACAATAACAGTGTTTCTCCTTCTCTCATTCTCTCTCTCTCTCAAATCAATAACTAATAAAAAGAAGACTCAATCTAGCTGAGTCTAAATCCAGACTTTTAAAAAAAGCTTCATGGCTGCAAATCTGACATCTTATCTTGATTCAGCATAATTTTTGCCATTACTCATCAGCTAGGCATTTATTAGACTTTGTTTGATATTTAGTCCCCAGTTGCTGTTATTCTTATTTTTGCTCATTTATTTTTTTACATTCAATATTATTTTGTATTGGATTCAGGTGTACAGCATAGGAGTTAGACAATCATACACTTTACAAAGTATAGGCCTGATATTTCCAGTGCCTACCTGGCACGATACATAGTTATTACAATATTATTGACTATATTCCCTATGCTGTTCCTTATATCCTTGTAACCATTCTGTAACTACCAATTTGTACTTCTTAATCCCTTCACATTTTCACCCAGTCCCCTAACTCCCCTCCCCTCTGGCAGCCATCAGTCTGTTTTCTCTTTCTGTATGGTCTGCTTCTGTTTTGTTTCTTCACTTATATTGTTCTTTAGATTCCACATATAAGTGAAATCTATTCTTTTTTATAAAAAAAATTTTATGTATTTATTTTTAGAGAGAGGGGAAGGGAGAGAGAAAGAGAGGGAGAGACACATCAGTGTGTGGTTGCCTCTCATGTGCCCCCTGCTGGGGACCTGGCCTGCAACCCAGGCATGTGATCTGACTGGGGATCGAACCCACGACCCTTTGGTTCGCAGGTTGGTACTCAGTCCACTGAGCCACACCAGCCAGGGCTGAAATCTATTTTTATTCTTAAATTGTCTTCGGTGATGGTTTCAAGTCAGGGGCATTAACTGGGATTTTTTTTTCTTTTTCTCCCCTCTCTCCCCCACCCCTTTTTCCATAATGGGTATAAAGTAGTCAAGGATAAGCACTACCTTTGATCTTCTATTCCCCACTGGGAGACATTTATGCAACACACAAGCAACAAATAGCTTCCAAGAATCCTTACCACAGACCTTAAACTGAAAATAGATTTAATTTTTAATCCATGAAAGTCAATTGAGTCAGCCTGGGTTTTCAGAAACACATCTGTTGTAAGAATTTATTCCTTCAAGCTTTATCTTGTGCCCTTTCCAATTGCTAATGCAGGACACCACTTGTTCTATTAATAAAAATCTCCAAAATAGTTGAGGTAAATCCAACATTTCATTATCAGGCATTTGCCTCTAACGCAAATCTTGATCTCAGAGGAAAAAAGCAGCAGTCTTCAGTTGTTTCTAATACCCATTTTGAAGAGAATACCCTTTTAAAATATGCTTACTGTGATTTTCCAGGTGCATTTGCTATTCGGAGGGTACACTCCAGGAAAACCTTCACTGCCAATAAATCCAGACTCTCCAGTAAAAACGCCGCCACATGTGAAAACAGGTCTGGGAAATAAAAGGGAAACAATTTGAAACGTGTCAATTTCAGAAAGGTGTAATCTATTAATACGGATAAATTAATATTGATTAATAAATGCCTGCACCATATAAGGGAACTGAAAGCTTAGCAGCCCTTAGAATATTTCAATTATAGCCTGGTAAAAACATTCCGTCTAGCTGCCACCTGTCTCCATCATAATAACACAAGATCGATAGTTCTGTCATCCATCCACTCACGCATCCATCCATCCATCCATCCATCCATCCATCCATCCATCCATTCATCCATATGTAACCAAGTCGTCCTCCACGTAGTGGTAAATCTTATAGGAAAATAGAAAATGGAATATTTAACTACGGGCAGTGAGAGAAAAGATGAAGGCAAGGCTGTGTGAGGTGCGTGGTTTAAAGATAGACAAGCAACTAGTCAATATAAAAAAGTTTTAATTGCCCAGATTTGAAGAGATGCCTTATTCTCCTCCCCTTTTCTGAAAATCGCTGGGCACTGTCAGAGCCTCCCACTGAGAAAGGAGATGTTAGAGACGATGCCAAAGTTGGTCATGGGTGGGTCCCGCGGCCCAGGTGCTGGCGAAGAGTTAATGCCCGGCAGCAGCTCTCTGGGCGCCACCCGACTGGAGATTTTCTCTAAGCTTACGTCTTTCTCCCGAGTTAAAAAAAAAAAATAGAAGTAAACCAAAGTCCATATATTTGGGCCCTAACGCTTCCCTCCGCCGGCAGAAACACGCGGGAAGGAAAGACGCAGGTCAGATGACGCCCTCGCCACGTGGTGGCCTGGCCGAGCGGTCCGCAGGCTGCAAGGGATGGGGACAGCGGGGAGCCCTGCGGCCCAGGGGCCTGGGGACAGACAGCCCACGGCTAGGTCCTAGGGCGCCCGGAGCAAACTGAGTACAGCTGAGCGCGAGGCTGCAGGGATAGAGCGAGGGAAGAAGAAGGGAGCCAGGCGGGGGCGCGTTACCTCTCCGGGGGCTGCTGCCGCGACAGCTGGGCCGCCAGCAGCAGGCCGAGCACAGCCCAGGCGCCCGCGCCGGTCATGGCCACTGGAGACGCTCAGGGCTCGCCCGCCCTGTGCACGCCGGCTCGCGCCCCCAGGCTCACAGCCTGGCGCACACTGGAGACACACTGGTGCGCGCTCTCCAAGCCGCGCGCGCGCGCACACAAACACACACACGCGCGCAGCCGCGGCAGCCCAGGTATCCGGGTGTGAGCTGCCGGCGGGGTGGGGGTGCTTTTAAAGGCGATTGCGGTGCAGCCTGACTCGAAGTTTCATTTCCCCAAGGAGTTGTTGGCAGCCGCTGGCCACGGCTGAATATCCCGTTTGTTCTCGGGGGCGGGAAGGGCGGCTCCGAAGACTGAGCCGCCTCCTCTTCAGGGGTGGGCGGGCGTCTCCTCCCCAGCACCTGGGACCCACAGCCCTGTCACGTCCTGGCAGCAGGCCTGTGAGAAGGATAAAGGGGAACTCCCATTCCCCCACCGCTGCCCATTGGTACCCAAGCGGGACCTGGCTCCATGATCACGGCGTAGGGGGTGGGGTGGAGTCATAGTTTGCTTTGGGGAGTGTTTTTCCCAAGTTGCTTTTAAATAAAAATCATTAGGGCTTGCTGGAAAACCTGGGGTTCGTCCTTTATTTCTGTTTCCTTCCAACAGCCACATCTAAGGCAAGAAAAGGGAAAATAGAAGAGGAATTCTATCATATTTTAACTCCTGCTCTTATAGGCTTACCTGAATATCTATCTATCTGGAGACTCTTCTCTTTTCTACTGGTGTATGAAAATACGAGAAGAGTTTCTGTGCGGGGATTTAGAAAAGAGATTTAAGCCAAGCCATTTGTGAGCGAATTGTCCGTTAACTATCTCAAATCATGAAGACAGAAACAGAATCATACATCCCACCATAGCATGTCATGTTCTGAAAATGGTGTTTCTTTGCTGACGTCTCTCTGAAAAAATGTTTACCAACAATTTCTTTTTGTAGGATGGATGAGTTAAGATTTACAGGGAATTTGTTTTTCTAAGGACAATTCCAGCTTTGTGAAATCAAGGCTTTACTTTAATTACAGAAGAATAATTTTAAATCTTTATTTTGTTAAGTGCTTCCCAATAACTAGGGATTAATAAAAGAAAAACAAGAAGAGGATGGTTTTGTTGAGATTTTCCACAACCGTTCCACCGCAAGAGGGATATAGCTGAATTTCGATGCCTCATTTGGCAAAGAAATTAAGCATTAAATTAGTACTCATCAAGACTCCATTTCTAATAATGAGTTACAATATTAAGAACATAAACAATGTTTGCAAGGAAGTGAACACTAGCTTCAGGGATAATTTGACTTTTAACAGTGGGGAAAAAACCAGCAGCCAGCAGTAGGAACGAGAATTTCCCTGTGGAGTTTACATTACTGTATTATTTTTGAAAAAAGAGAAGGAAAAAAACAGCAAGAACTACAACTTTTAAAAATTTTTCTAAAGGCACCACACCCTGTATGACATTAAAAACAAAAAAAAGAGGGATTACAGAATTTGGCAACGTACTTTATATCCTGAAACAAACTCTCTCAAACCAATAAAAACTGCTTTAAAATAGCAAAGAGCAAAATAAATGATTGTTTATTTTGCACACATTTCAAGAATATGTTATCCAATAGCATAAATGTTTTTAGATGATATTTTGTTAAAAAGTCATATTTTAAATTATCAAGTGAAAAAATATTGCTCAATTCACTTTCTGGTAATGATTTGAAGTTATCATAGCCAGAAAACACTTCATTCTTAGGATAACTTCATGCTTAGGAGTAAGTGAATTTTCAAAATTTAAAGTTAAAAGACAAAATATTAAACATGCCTAAGATGAAAAGAAAACTATTTGAACTTAACTATGCAAGAGTATTTCTTAATTTATGGGCTGATGACGATGTTCATATCCTCACTAGAGAGTTAGGGTTCCAACACTGATGGTTCTGTTGTTGTTGAGACACATAGGAAGACCTTGATGTTACCATGTGACATTAAAAGTTTATTAAAACCCATATTATTTTGTCTTAGAAACACATATTTGACTCAAAACTATAGTTCTGAACAAAGTTATAAACCTTAAATGTCCTGACAAGTTTAATGTGTTAAAATTGAGACAGACCCAAGTGGACCCCGAAAGTGTGTCTAAGGTCCACCTCCGTGAGCCCAATTTCTGGACGTTAGCCAGGCAGAGCTGATGTGGGAAGGGGGCCCCAAAACTTCAAGCAGTGGGAAAAGGGTGAGGAAGAGAGGACAAAAAGCCTGTAGGTAGAGTCTCCAAAGAAAAGCAGAGTGGTAGGTAAAAGGATCCTTGTGATTCAAAGTATTTATTACCCAGTCTTTCCAGTGAACCAGGTTGCACAAAGAATCAAAGTCATGGGAATATGGAGATATTTCCCAATGAACTGACCACTTACAAAATTGTACTTCACTCAGATATTCCTTGCTGCATATTATTCACATCTTCCTAGGCCCAATATGTCAACATCTTTGTTGGTTAGTCTCTGGTCAGTTCATCAACCTTGTAAACATATGAAAAGATAGTGCAAATACAGTGCACATTCAAACTGTAGTGTGGTACTGATCTTGTAAAACACCTATAACTTCATAAAATGGATGCAGTGCTGTTGAAAGAAGTGGGGAATGATGGGCCCCTTTAACAAATGAAGCTTTGGATGAGTTATTCCACTGAAAGAGAGAAACAAAAGAAGGTTGCTGACCAAAAGTTCCTTCAAAAAGAATTTTTAATGACAAAGTACTAAAATCTGGTGAGAAAAATGAAGAGGCCCTACAATATTTTTTTCAAAAGTTACTTCCTATATTATAATGCTGTGAAAGTCAAAGTAAAGGGAAGGATGTTTGTATTTTGCTTGAATGCATTTTTGTGGGGAAAATTATGCTTAAAAATCCATGTGCAATTCATTCTTTGTTCATTATGAGAATTGTCACTTAGTTTCAAATATAAGTAGTATTTTATTAAATACAGAATAAATTTAACTTTTAAGTTTCTGGTTTCATTTTTAAAGATAAAATCCTAAACAATATCTGCCATGAAAATGTGAAGCCTGTTTTAAGTAAAATTTAAGTGGCCTTTTCCAATCCAATTCATCTCAGATATGGGAAAGCTCCAATTATCTTGAAAGGTGCTCAAGCAACAATCCAGAGCACTGCATCCGATTGAAGAGGAAAGGGTAGGAGAGAGGATAATGGTGCCTAGACTCTATCCTTAGTGCCCTCTCACTGTGTTTTAGAGGTGTGAGCCATGTCTGGAACTCAGGTGTGGTCTGCGCGTCCTTGAGCATGACAAGGCTCCAGCTGCAGCACACGACCTCTCAATTTGTAAGTGCTACAAATGCATGACAGGAATGAAAAGTATCTGGAAAGCAATTATTATAATGTAGAAATTCTTTTATGCAGCTCAAGTTCGTGACAATACAATGTTCATGATATCTCCATAGCATCTGTAGTTCTGCAGAACTATCAAAATGATATTTCCCCATGTTCTTTTATCTAGCAAAATATAATGATGTAGGTATAATATCAATGATACCTTAGTGGTGAAACTACCTTTTCTGAATTCAGCTTTTTATTTCTTATGTATTATTTTTTTATTTTTTTTAAGTAATTTTTTATTTTCAATTACATTTGACATACAATATTATATTAGTTTCTGGTGTATAATCCAGTGATTGGACATTAAGTGATCACTGCAATAAATCTAATACCCATCTGACACCGAATATAGTTATTACAATATTATTGACTATACTCCCTATGCCCTACTTTACATTTCTATGACTATTCTTTAACTACCCATCCATTCATCTTTTCTACCTATACTCCCAAGCCGCTCCATTTCGGCAGTCATTAATTCTCTCCCTGTGTCTATGACTCTGTTTCAATTGTGTTTGTTCATTTACTTTTTTTCTTTAGAGTCCACATATCAGTGAAACCATATGGTATTTGTCTTTCTCTGACTGACTTATTTCACAGAGCATAATACCCTCTAGGTCCATCCATGCTATTGCAAATGGTAAGAAGTCATTCCTTTTTATGGCCAAGTAATATCCTATTGTATATATGTACCACAACTTTTTTTATCCACTTGACTATTAGCACTTGAGGTTGCTTCCATAGCTTGACTATTGTAAATAATGCTGCAGTGGACATATGGGTGCATATATTCTTTTGAATTAGTGTTTTGGGCTTCTTTGGATAAATGCCCAGAAGTGGAAATGCTGGGTCATAAGGCATAACCACTTTTAATTTTTTGAGGAACTGGATTCAGCTTCTTAGATAGTATCAACATTTAGGAACTCCTTACAATCTTTGAATTCTTGTGCAGAGATCTATCAGTAGATATTCTTGTGAAGAAGAATTTTTAGAATTAACAGTTCAATAGTTGTTGATGTTTGTTAACACACATTAGGAAGTAGACCTCCCCCACTTTTTTCCAAGAATAAAACATTGGAGGGGAATTGCACTAGTTAGCCTTCTTAGACAAACAACTGAGTCCACTCTGGCCAGTTCAAGCTGTAAAAGAGATGCATTTAAAAATAGAAGGTAGTTCATATTACCATTAAAAGAATTGGAGAAACTGGTTCAAGGCTAATTTTTCCAGAATAGTGGCCAAAGTTTCACTTTAAAAGGGCCCAGTAAGAAATCTTTTGCCATTGCTGCCACCAAAATTAAGCACTAAAAGCAACTCTTCCAACTTACTGTAGCTGTGACTGCTATGAGCACCTCAGATGCATTTCTGACCTGGGAAGTTCAGCCGGGCAGCACTCCTACCCCGAAGGCCAGCCAGCTCTGTTGCCACCCATGGAAGGAAAGACTCTTTCCTAATGCTGATCTCTTGAATCAAGAATCTCATACAAGTGGTTACAACTGGTAATGTCTGTGTCACATGGCTACAAAGGATGCTTGGAATTCAGCACTTTGTGGGGGATAATTCAAATGTAGAAATGTCTCCAGATATTAAAAGACTACTCAAAATATAACGGGCAGGCACGGTGTGATTAAAGCCCATGACAGGGATCCACAATATTCAGTTAGCCTCTCTCCTTACATCCCTGTGCTGAGAAAAACAGCCTGAAGTAGGTCTTTATGTAATAATAAGAGTACCAAGGCAGTGTGATATACATTGAGTAGAATCAGCTGCACTCACCTGTCCATGCTGGACAAAGGTGTTGGCTGCTTTGTGCTGATTTGGAATAAAAATCTGTCCAATGAAGAGACTCCATAACAAA